AATGGGCAGAAAGAAGAATGAGAATTTACGAAATTCAGTACCATTTATAAGACAAATAACAGAAGATGGCAAACCAAAACTGGAAGTCTATAGACCGACAACAAATCCTATTTATATATGGACACAGGTAAGCACAGATGTTAATTGATTCAAGTAAATTTTAATATCAATTTGAAAATTTAAATTTAAATTCAATTTATTTTTAACTATATGGAAGCACATAAAGTAGTAGAACAAACGATGATAGATATAAACTAGCTAAACTGCTAAGCTAAGTAATTCAGTTAATGAATTAAAAATTTACTGCAAAGCAAGGACTATGAGTATTTATAAGTAATAAATACTAAGAAAAATATGTGGGGGCAATTAATCAATTATCAGACATGCCTACACCTATGATATATGTATGTAGTGTATAGTCGGTAATGTATAGTGTGTCTAGTGACTTTGTTACTATATGACCATGTGATACGCTAACAGTAAATGAATGCAAATAATTGAACTTTAATCTTTATTATCAGTTTAACGCTTCACAAGTGAACAAGTCCTTCAAGAATATACAAATCAACGATCGACGAAATCGTGTGTAGATTTTACTGGTACTAACCAAACAAAACAAGCAGATCGGTTTTATAGAATTTGTAAAATTATCTATCAAGATGCATTCGTACTCGTCGTGATTCAATTAAATATATAAAACATAATTATTAATAATATAAAAAAACAAAAACAAAAAAGATTTCATTATAGTGTACATTAGTTTATCAATTAAATGAAATAGACAAAATAGTAATAAAAAAAATCTATATTAACTATATATATAAAAATAATTAACAGAAAACCATTGCTGATGAGTAATTAAATAAATTCCTTTTGTTTTGTTTAATTACATATAATATATATAAATATATAGGAATATGTTATATACTAAATAATAATAGGAATTTAAATATAAAATCTGTGGATACAATTATTTAATTGGTACATTCACAGCTATTCACTATTAATAATTGCCGTCATTAAAATAAGTTGCGCTACATATTACTTTTAATTGAATTAATATTAATATTTTCGCAATTTTTTTTTAATTTAGTCTTTTGGAATTTTATTATTTTGTATTTAATATTACGTTTTCCCAAGAACGCTTCGAAGAGATAAGAATGTTTATGAAATTTACAGATCAAACTGAGATTGAACGAAACGTAAAATTTGATTTTCTTTCACCTCGACGATCAGTAGATGCCGTAAGCTCAAGTTCAGCTCGTTGAAAATATCTGAAATATTCTACGATTCCGATTTCATTGGACAAATCTTGTAAAAATTCTTGTAAAAGTGAATTTACAAAATTTAAATCGAATTTATTTTAGTGAAAATTTATTTATTAATTTTTCAAAGGAAATCGTAATTAAATGCAAAATAATATATGTATTTACATATTAATTTAATAAAAATTTCATAAAAATAAATAAAAGAGTAAAATAAGTGTGTTTAACAAAAATTTAAATAAATTCAACTGAAAAAAAAATCCTTCGACATGAAAATCCTTATGCGAGCGGATACTCACGTATCCTTTTCAGTGCCAGTCGACGAACCGAAAGCGAAATGCACTTACACACAGGTTAATAATTAATTTTATTAATAATTTATATTCGTACTTAAAAGATTTAATTAAAATATGCATACGTTTTGTCAAGAAAATGTTTACAAATGTAAAAGAGGCAGAAATTCTTATTCTGAATTTATTGACTATAAAATATTGGCCTTAAAATAATAATATAGTAGGCTCCCAGCGAAATGGAAGAAAAATAAAATAATATATATTATATATATAATATTAATATTATTATGTTAAAAAAAGTGACTAATTGCAGGCTAAGAGTGGTTAGAAAATTTCATTCTGGTAATATTGTATATGTAATATTACATTATGTGGCCCTTTATTCCTCATAAGATCTACGGGAACTAATATATATATATAATATTAAAATATACAGTCAATAATATAACTAAATATAAATGTAATAAGAAATAATATAAATTCTTTAATCAAATAAATTTTTTAAAAAAATAAATTTATATTTTATAATAAAAAAATCTTTAAATAGAAAACCGTAATATATTGCACAACAAAATTTTTATATATAATTAATTGAATTTTTTGGCTGATCATACAATACAACAGTTTTGGAATAATTGTTTTTAAAATAAAATTTAATTTATTTTTCATTACTAAAAACATGATTGCATTATAAACATTTTCTTGATAGTGTACATATTGGAAATATTATTTCCAATATTCCAATATACTACTTGTATAATGTTATAACATGAAAAAATATATATAATTAAACATATCATATATATGTATGTATGTATATCGGAACAATTTATTGAACTCAACTATATAAAATAATCAATCGATAATTTTTTAAACCACAACACATACGAACAGTTGAAGAGTAGGATCGGATCACTACTAAGAATTACTTGCACAATAATTTCAATAGCGACTGCACCGATATCTCGGGACTACTGTTTAACATCGATGATCAAGTGCCGCTCATTATACTTGTCTAAAGTTTATCGAACAATAAAAAGACGGCATGAAAAGGATATGCAAGTACTAGTTTGGTTTTATATTCATCTTTTGACAACTCTTGTTCCAGAAGTGACTTATACCAAATAATATTCAGTTTGGCGTTGTATTCGTTTAGTGATAAAATATAAAATTATATATCAATCATTTTTAAATTAAACTCTTGTTAAAGAAGTGGCTGGATCAATATCTTAGTTACTCTTTCTAATGTTTAACAACTAGAAAAAAAACAACAAATAGAATTCGAAAATGTTCGCTTTATTTGACTACCTCCGGTTATAAAGTATAATATAGATAATATATCATCTTACGTCAAAAATTTATTCTAGAAATGATCGGATCAAATTTTTAAAACAACTCGTCTACGACGGCGAGTAAAAATTT